ACTGTTGTCTGCTGGATTTCACTAGGAAAATCAAGTTCCAAGCGTCGGTCCTCAGACATCATCAGCCTGCTGGTGAGCATCTATGGCAGCAAGGACCTGTTTATCAACGAATACCGCACACTTTTGGCTGACCGCCTACTACATCAGTTCAACTACAGTGCTGAGAGGTGAGGTTCAAACACCCCACCCCAGGCCTTTCCACAGAATCACAGAATCATCTAGGTTGGAAAAGCCCTTGAAGCTCCTCCAGCCCAACCATGAACCTCACCCTGACTGTTCCCAACTCCACCAGATCCCTCAGCGCTGGGTCAGCCCGACTCTTCAACCCCTCCAGGGATGAGGACTCCCCCCCTGCCCTGGGCAGCCCATTCCAACGCCCAACAGCCCCTTCTGCACAGAAATCCTTCCTCAGAGCCAGCCTGACCCTGCCCTGGGCAGCTTGAGGCCATTCCCTCTTGTCCTGGCACTTGTTCCTTGGCTCAAGAGACTCATCCCCCCTCTCTGCACCCTCCTGTCAGGGAGCTGTAGAGGGCCAGGAGGTCTCCCCTCAGCCTCCTCTTCTTCAGACTAAACCCCCCCAGTTCCCTCAGCAGCTCCCCATCAGACCTGTGCTCCAGACCCCGCACCAGCTCCGTTGCCCTTCTCTGGACATGCTCGAGTCACTCAATGGCCTTTTTGGGGTGAGGGGCCCAAAACTGAACACAGGAATCGAGGGGTGGCCTCAGCAGTGCCGAGTACAGGGGTCAGATCCCTTCCCTGTCCCTGCTGGCCATGCTATTGCTGACACAATCCAGGATGCCATTGGCCTTCTTGACCACCTGGCCACACTGCTGGCTCATGTTCAGCCAGGAATTTTCCATGGTAGAATCACCTGATAAAGGTGCACTTCAGACTTGGTCCTATGAATGTCTGCTTCTGGAGCCAGGAGTGGTTTTGGCCATTTTCTCTGCAGCTTTGGGTTTTCATCTAGAATTTCATGCACTCACCTCTTCTTGGGCTGCTTCCCACACAGTCCTGCCCTGGGCTTGCACTAATAGGGCAGCATGTAGGAAATTGGAGGCACCAATACCCTCTTAGCTCCATCCCATGTGTTCTGGTGACCCTCACAACCTGCACAGGCTGCTTAGGATCAGCAGAAAGTGTGAAAGTAAGAAAAAGGGATGAAGCATCAGGAAACCTCATTTGCAACCCAGCTACATCTCTTGATTCAACAGTTGCGGTGGTTTTCCTTTCTGTGAAACGTAGCCAGTGTGAGCCACGTCTGGGACGGGCAGTCTCAGGCAAGTGGCTGGCCGAGTGCTGAGGGCGCACTGTGCTGTCGAGGGGGATGGCTCCGTGCTGTGCTCGTCCAAATGAAAAGGGTGGGGCCCCTTCAGAGGCCCACAGAGGAAGTGACTGTTCCTCACTTAAATGCCAAGAAGTGTCCTGTTCAGATAATGCACCTTGCAAGGCTTCGTAGGAGGAGCAAGCACCCTTGTGCCAGGGATTCCTTTTTTGGCTGAGTTGCGAGGGGTGGAGGTCAAGCCAGGCTGCTCTGTCCGAGGGAGCTGTGTCTGAGCTGTTGTTTCTCTTTATCAGGGAAATCCGCAACGTGGAGCTGCTGAAGCTGCGGTTTGGTGAAGCTCAGATGCACTATTGTGAAGTCATGTTAAAAGTAACTTTTTTTTTATTAAATTCAAGTCCAGGGTGTTTGAGCTCACTGGGGAAGGGGAGGGACTTGAGGAGTGACCCAAAAAGGGTCTTTTAGGAAAGTGGGATTCCCAAAATGCCAGTGAGGACGCTGATTTGTGACAGGCAAAACTGCCTTCAAAATCCTGTCTGTACTTTAAGCCCTGCGGGTCGGGTTGTTGATGCTGGGGGATGGTTGCTCTGGTGCTGTTGCCTCACCTGCCTTTCCTGCAGTGCAGTATTCTGGCACTGAAGAGCTGGCCTCTTCCAGCACCTCTAGGGTTGGATCTCTGGACTTTAATTCACTTGGAGCACTGTGGGAAGAACACAGTCTTGGAGGGACTCCAATATAGGCTAGTGTTGAGCTTTAAGTTCTTCCTCAACCTCCCCACAAATGTTTCTGAGTATGTAGAAGACTTTCCAGTGTCACCAACATCATCATCATTTGGAGAAAGCACTAGACAGTTTAAGCTTCTCCTTTACTAAGAGTTGGCTCTGACTTGGAAGAGAAGGAGCTACTTTAGATTCCTCTGCTTTTTCCAGGATATGGCTGACTCGCGACGCATTAATGCCAACATTCGTGATGAGGAAGAGAAGCTCCCAGAGGAGGAGAGGCCACCATTCAGCCTCGTTGCCGTTATCCTATCAAGTGAGTTCTGGCCACCACTGAAAGAGGAGAAGCTAGAGCTTCCAGAGCAGGTGAAGGAAGCCATGGAAGCCTATTCCAAGAAGTATGAAAAATTAAAGGTGAGACAACCTTAACCATCCTTAAAAAATATGTATGCTGTTCAGACTTTGTTACATAGCAATGGTTTTTAACATGCCTTAAATTTTAGTTGCTACTACACCACACTGTTATGGTGGAATCCCCAAGTCCTTCAGCTTTGAATCGGGGTTAGAAGCTGTGCTAGTTATTGCCAAAAGAAGGGTTTGTCTCTGTATGGGGTGCCTGGGTCATCACTGTGATTGCAGTCAGGAAAGAGGAGGCTGAGGGGAGACAGCTCCCTGAAAGGAAGGTGCAGAGAGGGAGGATGAGTCTCTTGAGCCAAGGACCCAGCGCCAGGCCCAGAGGGAATGGCCTCAAGCTGCCCAGGGCAGGGTCAGGCTGGCTCTGAGGAAGGATTTCTGTGCAGAAGGGGCTGTTGGGTGTTGGAATGGGCTGCCCAGGGCAGGGGGGGAGTCCCCATCCCTGGAGGGGTTGAAGAGTCGGGCTGAGCCAGCGTTGAGGGATCTGATGGAGTTGGGAACGGTCAGGGTAAGGTTTGTGGGTGGGCTGGAGGAACTTCAAGGGCTTTTCCAACTGAGCTGATTTTGGGGTTCTGTGACTGCAGCTGGCCCTCGTGGTAGAGGGACATTTACAGTAGTGCAGCACTTAGTGGTTCCTGGTAAAAGATCTGCTGTGAGCGGCTGCTTCTCCCTTTTCCAGGCCATGAGGACCCTGAACTGGAAGTACCACCTGGGCCTGGTGAGCTTGGAGGTGGAGCTAGCAGATCGCACCCTCTCCCTGTCAGTCTCTCCCGTGCATGCTGCCATCATCCTGCACTTCCAGACCAAGAGTGAGTGGCAGAGACTGGGCGTTAACCACCCGTGTCTGTGCCCTTCCCATGGGCGGGTGGGAGGGCTGTGGCCCTCGGGTGCCTGAAGGCTCTGAGAGCTCTGGCAGCAGGACCAAGACCCCGCTCTCTGGGCTTGGTTCTCAGCCAGCTCTGGTAGGAGACAGCACCCAGTGGGGCCGCAGCTCAGCACCCGGGCTGCTTTCGGGCAGGTGCTGCGCATGGCTGCTCGCTCCCAGGCGCGGAGGCAGGTGGGTGTCCTGCGCCGTGCTCCCATTCCCGCCCTCTCTGCAGGTACGTGGACACTGACGGAGCTGAGCGAAGTGCTGAAGGTGCCTGTGACATCGCTGAAGCGGAAGATGACACTGTGGCTGCAGCAGGGGGTTCTTCGGGAAGAGCCCCAAGGCACCTTCACCGTGATTGAGGAGGAGCAGAAGGATCAGGTGGAGAAGGTCGTTCTGATAGACAGCGATGAGGAAGGGGACTCTGCCATGGCATCGCAGGCTGACCAGAAAGAGGAAGAGCTGCAGGTACCCATCTGTGTGTCTTGGCTGCTTGCGAAGCTGACAGGACAATGCAAACACCCCGTGCTTTTGGTTTTGGGGTATCTCATTAAGGTGACGGATTCAATTTGAACTTTGGATTTGCGTTTTCCACAACATGAGAGTTTTCTGCAGTGGATATCTCTTGATTAATGCTCACTGGTGCAGGTGCTGAATTGCAGCCATCCCTCCAGAAAAGTACCGGGCTGCTGAGCCAGGCAACCATTTGGACATCTCTAAATCTGTTTTTCAGTCTGAAAAGAGAAAGTCTGAGACGTGATTTCATAACTGAAAGTAATCATAACTTGGATTCACGCAAGCAGCTAGACCTTTGCCTTCTCTGGGTTGTGGTTCCTGGTCACTTCCAGTGCTTTTCCTACCCATGTGTCATGTTGTGTGTGTGTTGTGCCACTGTTGCAACACGGAGGTGTCATACTGGTGTTTATCCACTGAGGGTCATGCATGTACTGCACGTCAAATCCTTCTTTCTAGCTGTGTGTCCCAACACCTGATGCTGTTCTTGGGTATTGCCTCATGGCTGAGCACAGAACTTGCTGCCAGCCACAGCCCTGCTCCTCTTTTGAGGTGCAGGATGCTAAGGCACCCCTTTTCTTCATGGTATAGTTGTCAGTGTGGTTTACTGTTGCTTACGTGTCCCCCTCCACAGCTATTCTGGACATACATCCAGGCTATGCTGACCAACCTCGAGAGCCTGTCCTTGGAGAGGATTCACAGCATGCTGAAGATGTTTGTGATGACGGGCCCAGTGGTGACAGAAATCGATATACAAGAGCTGCAGGGTTTTCTTCAGAAAAAGGTCCGGGACCAGCAACTCATCTACTCCGGAGGTGTCTATCGCCTGCCCAAGAACTGCAACTAGACTGTGAGCATCCCTGCTTTCCTCTCCGTGCCTGTGCTCAGCTCCTGAGTGCCACCCAGCTCCCCTCATCCTGCTGGGTATTTCTCTGCCCTGGGGGTTTGCTGTGCCCCCTTCCCCAAAAGGATGTCCTTTTCCACATGAAGGCAGCTCAGCAGCAGCCTGGGCTATGCTTGGGTCTGCTTCCCCCATTGCTTTTCCTCTCACATGTGAGTGTTTGGGCCCACTTCACTGGTTAATAAAAAACAGCAGTCTCATTTTTTCAGATGGTACCAACTCCTTTCTTTCCCCTCGGCAGAGCACTCTTGGCATCAACCTTCCCATGCTGAAAGGGCAGGCAGGAAACTCCCTAATCTGCCAGGCACTGTCTCCCTTCTGTTGGGTCTCCATCTGTAGCCCAAGAGGTTTTGGGCGGGGGGGCTGTTAGCTCCAGTTGCTCTCTGGGTCTCTCTGTGTGGCTGAAGCATGTCTTGCAGCTGGCTGTGATGAGCAAGACCCTACGCAAAAGCAAGTGTTCACACTGTCTCCTTTGGCTCATGTGGGAGGAAGACTCCAGGGTCTGCTTACCCTTGTTTGGGACTCCTAAATTGTGTGGAATAATTCTGTTGTGGGATGAAGAGTGCGTTAGATGGATGAGACATAGCAGTTCTTCAGGGCAAGTCCTGGAGGATAAGTGGATTATCTGGGCACTGGTGGGTTTGCTTTACTCCAGCACAAATACACATCTCCCTTCCAGCTCCCTGGCTGCTGCTCTCGAGGGCGCATCGTCCTGGTGTGCTTCAGAGTTCAGAGGTCAGTGTGGCAGTTGGGATAATCCCTGAGCTCCATTGGTGAAACATCGTGCCCCCAACCTGGGTATCAAGCAGTGGGTTTCAGGATTGTATTCCCTCTCCACTTAATAACATTCAGGCTTCCTCAGTCCTGCTTTCTGGCTAGGTTTTGTTCATCAGGAGGAATATGCTGGGGAAATCTGGCTTATACTAAAAATTTGCTTTCTGAGAAGCAAAGAATGAGTTTCCACAGTGCATGGAGTCTTTCCCCTCCTCTGCTGTGTCTATCCCAGCCCAGGGGCACTGTGGCAGCTAGAACTGAGGACACCGAAGTGCCACACATAAAACACCGGAGCAACCCTGGCTGTGGATCCGGGTGCACAAGAGACTTGTGGAACACCAAAAACAACCTCTATTTAACACTGAACCTTGTTTTTTAGTGCCCAAAGGCCCAGAAGTCCCACACTGTGGCCATCCTTCGTGAAGCTGCAGGCAGTGGAGCACAGTGCTCGCTTCCTCCTTGTGCACATTTACTTTTTTTCCTCTATGGGTGAGAGCACATGTTCTTGTTTCCCCGTGGCACTTTACTCCAGGCTGGTGGTGGTGTGGCACTAAGAGCTGGTTGGCGTGTTCTGTTGTGAAGCTTAAAATGTTCCTTGTGCTGCAGGGACTCTGGCAATAACTAAATAACCCCTGATCCATGAACGTGTGGAATATTACTCCAGGTAAAGCCAAGAAAAATGAACAGCAGCTAATCCTGAATCACAGCAGGCAGGGCAGGGAAATCCATGGCCAAATGTGTGAGGATCCCCACCAGACCCTGGTAGGACCCGTGGCTGGATCTGTTGTTGTTTGAGGTTGGGCGGGACATGGCACTGGCCTCGTCATCACTGTGCCCAGCATAGGATGTGGCTGGGGACATCCCTGGGAGCCACTCCTGGGACCCACATGTCGAGGACATGAGACACACAATCTTGCTGAACCACAGCTTGTTTAACCCCAGGCCGAGGTCTCTGCTGCTTGCTGAGTGCTCCTGCACCAGGTCCTGGTGGGTTTTCCCTTGCAGAAAACACCTCCTGGGAACTTCTCCACGTTCCCCCAAAGGCTGCTCAGCTCGTGCCCTTGCTCAGCTCTTGCTCAGCTGATGTGCCACTGAATAAATCAAACCAGACCACAAGTGCCTGAGCTCGATCCAAAACCCAAATGCCCTGGGAGGGTGAAGGGGAACAAGTTGGGTGCAGGTTGTGTGGACGTCCCTGGAGGATACCTCTCCTGTATGTGCTGCAGGTGCAGAGCCCCAGGGCTGCGTTACACAGCTTCTCTTATGTAGTTTAGTTTTATTTTTCAGGAAAGAAAACCGAGCACAGGGAATCATCTGGAAAGGTGGGCGGCTGCGGGGGCAGCGTCTGTCGGGCACGGGGGCCTGGGCTGTTCCACGGCACGTCCCGCTCTGTGCTTTGTGGCTGACCATGGGACGTCTGGGCGCCCTGTGGCTGCGACAGGGTGAGGAAATGTCTCTTTTTGATCTTTTGAGATCAAAGAAACCGCCAGCTTTGCAGCGGGGCTGCTGGCAGCCAGGGCTGTCCCTGGCCACCAATGGAGCTGGGGCCGGCTGCTGCAACAGGGAACGTGACTCCAGCACCCCGGCTGGTTCTGCTTTGCTTAGAGATGAAAAAAAATGTATAGATGCTAAAAATATTGATCTATGTATGGGTGCAGGTAGATATATTCCTCCCGCGGTGCTTCCTCACCCCCAAGGCAGGGTGCTGTGGGTGCAAGCATGCCCTAGACGTACCCCGTCCCCGGGATGAGATGAGGGCTGCATCCAGCCCTCACTGCCGTGCCTGAAGCCCCACGGTGCTGTGGAGGTCAGGGCAGGGCACAGCATGAGCATCTTTCCTGCCCTGACTTTTCCCAGCTGCCTTGATGCTGCCCCATGGGATAGACCCGTGGGGTGTGATGAGTTTGTCCATCCTGAGCTGGCGGGGACCCGGAATCGCTTCTCTCTCTGTGGGAGGTCCCGGCACGGCTCAGCCAGAGCCACTGCTGAGCTGCAGTGTGGTTGTTTCAAAGTGTTACAATAGGAAAAACTGGTTTAATGAGTGCTTCAGCTTTTATGGAATGTAAAAGTCTAAAAATTAATTGAAACAAGCTGGAAATGCAGTTTTTCAGCCTGAATGGAAGAAGCTGGAGGGAAAGAAAGGGCTTTGGGCTCTTCCCTGCACCATTTGCCATGCAGCCACATTGCTTCAGGCTGGAGCTGCATTTCCTGGCCGAGGTGAAGGGTCCCTTGCTTTTGCAAATCACTTCCACTTTTAAAGGAACGAAAGAAAAAAAAAATATAGCTTGAAAATGCACATAAAGTCCTGTTTCTTTACTTAGATGTTTGGGAATGGCTTCAGTTGCTTTAGATTTTACAGACACCCTTGCTGAGTGATGTAAACCCTTTCTGTGCACGCTCCTTTACACAGGAAGGTGTCACAGTGATTTTCTCCGATCACCACTTGTGAAATGAGTTGATACTCACGCACTGGCAGGGCGCTGCGGAGGGGCTGTTCTGCCCGCTGCAGGAGGAACGGCTCTGGGCACTTGCTGATCTCCCATCTTTTCCAAATTATTTTCCCAAATTTTCCATATTTTCCCCCCAATTTTCCACTTTAAAAAGCAGTGTGACCCTGAAGCCTCCCAGGCACAGCAGCACGGGTGGCTGCTCCCTACCCTCTCCCAGCACCAGCCCCGGCACCCACCCCACTGTCCCCCCCGGCGCTGAGCCCGGCCGGTGCCCTGTGGTGTGACCATGACCTTTCTGGCAGCCTCGTGCTGCCACCAAGGCTGGCATGTGAGGGGGTGAAGCTGCCAAACCTACTTTTCTTTGTTTTTTTCCTTTTTAAAATTGTTTTAGTGAGGTAGGGATGGAGCTCAGCTGGAGGAGAAAGAAGCAGCGAATTTAAATTGGGTTTGAGGAGCGATCATCTGGACCAGCATTCCTTGAATGGCTTTAGAAAAAGAAATTAGATAAAAATCCTTGCTTTCCTTCAAAAAGAGTCATAGTCCTCATTTACCTTGGTCTATTTATAAACTGTTTAGAAGGGCCACGATAACCCAAGCAGGATGCGGCGTTCCTACAGGGGACGTTCCTCGGCCCACAGATAAACTGTTTGGGTTATTTAGGATGTGTTAAAGCAGAGCTGCTTACGAAGGTTGGAAATTTTTGCTAAGAAGGAGATTGGGAAGAGCACAGGATCCAGCTCAACGGCGCTAGGACCACATCCTGCCCAGGGAGTCACTGATCTGCTCCTGGTTTTACACTGACCTTGCTGCTGTTTTGCTCCTTGCGGATACACCCGCTTTGGGATGCAGGAGGGCTGATGATGCGGAGGGACCCTGTGGGAGCAAGGGGCTGGAGCAGCCGCAGAAATTCGGGGCAGATCAACACAAGGTGGGTGATATAAAAGGAAAAAAACCTCATCCAACAGCCCAAGCCATTGCTGATGCGAATGTGGAGCGGGGAGGTGGGTGGACACGCTGCAAAAAGGGCAGCTCAATGCTCGGAAAAAGGACTGGAAATGACCCTGTGGGGCTGGGTCCTGTGGGCGATGGCTGCCAGGGGCTGCTGGCTGCTGCATGGGCAGCCCCACGACAAGGGAGCTGCTGCCCACTATGGATCAGATTATTCTATTATATGCCTCTGTTCTTCCCTTTTTGGGGCTGCAGGAGGGGCCAGCTCCAAGGTCAGGGCCCACAAGGCTGCTTGGGGGTTTCTGTATCCCCACGCCAGCACCGTTTCCCCTTCTCCACTTGCAGACACTCACTTCTAGTTTTGGGGCTCCCTGCCTGCTCCCTGCCTGCTCTGGGCTTTGCAACCATGGGGCATAGATCTGTACGACCATTTTCCTGGTGGCTCCAAGCCTGTGACCTTTTTAGCTGCCTTTAGCTTCTTTTTTGACAGATTTCCTCCTTTTTTTGCAGTTTCTATGGGCACAACCAGTGCTGGGGGTCATACCCCCCATACTCTCTGTCCTGGGGTTGCCCTGGGGCTCACCCTGGACCCATTCTGGGGTCTGGGCACCCAGAGCCTCCCCAAAGGGATCTGCCAGCCCCAGGGGGTCAGTTGCCTTATTCTGGCTTCTGAAGGGAGCAGAGGGGCCAGGGGTGTTTGCATATGGCTGGGATGCAGCTGCTACTAATCGGCCCTGGAGGTGTTTTGGCTAAGCAGGCTACCTACCAAAAAATGGAGGAAAAAACGAAAATTGTTGTTGAAGTCAGTGCCCAGCAACAAGGGACCATGCAGCTGCCCCAACTTCTGGTGATGTTTTTCTGGTGGGTGTCAAAACTGAGGGTGTGCCCATCACCTAAATCCGTGGGTACCAGTCAGTGACTGGTACCAAAATCTCGGCTCAGAGGTCACTGCCTCCCCGTCGCTGGGCCTTTCTTACCCTTTTCCCTCGGGTGCCCCATGGCGGGGCAGCACCGTGTTTGTGCAGGATTTGCATTGGTGGCTCTGCAGGAAGGGCCGTGGCACCCGCTCCCGGCCCAGCCACTGTTTCCTTCCTGCGTGGGGCCTGGCTGGGGGGGCCCGTCCTGGGCACAGGGCTCGTGGCCCCAAGGGGAGGGGGTGACTGGGGTTGGGGGGGCCCCAATGCACACCCCTCCTACCCTGCATGCATATGGCCCCCACCCCCTTGCACTGCCCCACTGCATGTGTACAGCCCCCACAGTGCACAGGCATGCCCCCTGCCCCCCACCGCTGCTCTGCTCACACGTGGTCACCCCAGTGCAATGCCTCCCCCCACCAGGGCTCCCCCATTGCCCTGCCCTGATGCCCACACGTGCCCCCCCCTCGCACAGCCCCTCCCTGTGTACAGCCCTCCCCATTGCACATGGGCTTCCCCCAATGTACTCCCCCCACACCTGCACGTAGCCCCCCATTGCACTGCCCCCCATGCAACCCCCACCACATTGCCTTGCCCCCCACATACAGCCCCCCGTAATTGCATTTTGCCCCGCTGCCTGCATATGTGTCCTCTCCCTAGGGTCACAGAATCCCAGAATCATCTCGGTTGGAAAAGCCCTTGCAGCTCCTCCAGCCCAACCATGAACCGTTCCCAAACGTTCCCAACTCCCCCAGATCCCTCAGCGCTGGCTCAGCCCGACTCTTCAACCCCCCCAGGGATCCCGGGGACTCCCCCCCTGCCCTGGGCAGCCCATTCCAACGCCCAACAGCCCCTTCTGCACAGAAATCCTTCCTCAGAGCCAGCCTGACCCTGCCCTGGGCAGCTTGAGGCCATTCCCTCGGGGCCTGGCGCTGGCTCCTTGGCTCCAGAGACTCATCCCCCCTCTCTGCCCCCTCCTGGCAGGGAGTTGCCGAGGGCCAGGAGGTCTCCCCTCAGCCTCCTCT